CGGAGGCTGCACAGACGTGAGCTGAGGTGAGCCTCCTCACGTGTCCTCACACCCTGCTCTATGCTACAGGACAAGCCAAGCATCAAAGAGCAGAGGCTGCAGCCTGAGGTGCACCCCCAGGCAGCAAGTGGAGTGGAAACTGAGGCTCTGCCCAGTGTGTTAAGAGCCCTTAAGCTTCCTCCTACCATGGTATGCTAAAATTATGTCTGTAAAGAGGCAACTTTCTTAATTTTGGGTAGACTCCTTTCCTGACCACAGCCCTTCAGAAGTTTCTTGTCCATCTGACAGTCAGACATTGCCATGCCACACAGCCCAGAGGACAGGGCAGTTTCTGAACTGCATGGCGACTGCATCCATGTCCAGCATCGTGCTCTATCCTGTTTTCATTACGGAAGATGTAAACCAGTTGAGGTTGATCATCTTCCACTGATGTCTTCTTTTATGCGTCTAGAGAAGACAGACAAACTCTTCCACAATTTTCAAGGCAGTAAGAGAGTAGCTGTTTGACACATCACTGGAAAATTTCTCTAAACCCTACGACTTCACTGAAGTGGATGCAGAATCAGAATGAGAACAATTCTCAGCTGTAATGGCAATTTTGATCCAAGCCACATAAACATATTCTAACTTTAAGTTCTGTTAGCAATTTTAAAATGTCAAGAGGTATGCCAAGTTCTTATTACCCAAGTCTACATATTTAATTGTCAATGGCCCAAATTTCCAAGAGAAGAGAGCTATATTAATTCCAGGTGGTCCCCAAATTAAGATCTGTTGAAAAATCATTATCTACCTTCCTCTTAAACTAGGGATTAGTGCTTGGTTGGTCTACTTTTTAACTATAAACTTATTGATCTTCTAGAATGCCTACCGCACTGTTCAGTTCAGTTTTAATTTCAAAGCAGTCAAGCGCAAGAGATCTGCAAGATTATCGTGTTACGTCATTGATCTGCACTAGCAGAAGACTCAATTTGCTCAGTAATAAGCAACTGGGGTCAAAGGCCATGACAGAAAAAAAGACAAAGGGTATCGTTTACACCCGTGTCAATCAGAAACAGCTCTAGTGCAATCAACTGAGTTACATTTGTCTCAAATTGGTGTAAAAGAGAATTCTGTGTGTGCAATTCTGTGTTTGGGATTATGTGGCAGTCCGGAATTAACCTTTATTTATCTCTAGCAGGAAGACTACTAAATTAAAAAGCTACATCTGCTGTGTTAGCTGTTTAACCAAAATGGGTTTTATTCTCTTGCTAGCAAATCAAATTCATGTTACTGTTTGAGCTCACTGGCTTCCATCGTGTCACCTAATCTGCTTCACAGTATGAACTCGTAGATTCTCTAATTTTGCATTAGAGAATTCAACTGAGGTAAGAGAACAGTAATTAGTGTCCTACTTTTTAAAGAAGGAAAAAACCAACCACAAACAAAACAATCACCTCTCCCAGCTATTTGCAACTCTTAAACTTTTAGATATGCAAGACTTTCTATTTTGTGACTTTTGATGTTCACAGAATCATGCACTTCTAATAGCCCTGGAATTTTAAAAACATATTCCTGGCTACAGAGCCACAAGATGATTCACAGGAAAGATTTAATTTGAGTTTTAATTTTGCTTGTTCAGGGATCTAGGTTGGAAGAACTGCACGGCATACAGCCCTGAAGAGAAGCCCAGGAGAGATCGCTTATTTTCAAGCATCACCTCCTCCTCCAAGCTCAAAAACCAGTCCTTCCTGAAAAGCACGAAGCCAAGCAAAGATGGCAGTAGGCCTGCATGGATAACACAGAGCTCCTGACTAAACTCAAAAATAAAGAGGCACATGCAGGGATGCAGGAATAACCTAAAGACACGGTCTGAACGTGAATGGTTGGGGTTAGGAAAGCCAAACACTTCTGAAGATAATTCTGGTGAAGGATGTGTAGTCCAACAAAAAGGGCTTCTACAGGTATGCCAGCAGCAACAGGAAGGCTATGGAAAATGCGTGCACGCTGCTAAATGGGGTATGGGACCTGGTGACCAAAAACGCAGAAAACGTCAAGGAACTCAGTGCTGCCTTTGCCTCAGCCTTTAATGGTATGATTTGCCTTCAGGAATCCCAGGCTCCTGAGACCCGAGAGAAAGTTCTGGGCAAGGAAGACTCACTCTTGGCAGTAACAAACTGGACATACACAAGTCTAAGGTACCTGACGGGATGCACCACAAATGCTGACAGAGCTGGGCAATGTCACTGAAGGCTTGTTTATCTTGACTTTAGCAAGATTTTTTGACACTACCTTCCCTAACTTCCTCACAAGCAAACTGGTGAACTTTGGATGAGATAAACAGTGAGGTATACTGAGAACTGGCTGAACTGCCCGGCTCAAAGTGGTTGTGATTAACAGCACAGAATCCATTTGGAGGCCACCCACTAGTGCTGTATCCCAGTGGCTGATAGTGGGACCAATACTGCCTGACATCTTCATTAATGACCTGGAGGGCGGGACAGAGTGCACCCACAGGAGTTTTGCAGATGATACAAAATTGGGAGGAGTTGCTGATATGCCAGATAGTTGTGCCAGGTTCAGTGAGACCTTGACAGACAGACAAGAATCTGACAGATGAAACAAGACAATTGGACAGACAAGCATCTATTGGTTTTGGCCAAAAAGGCTAAATGGTCTGGGTTGGAAGGGACCCTAAAGATAATTTAGTTCCAACCCCCTGCCATGGGCAGAGACACCTTCCACTAGACTAGGTTGTTCAAAGCCCCACCTCTGAACAACTGAACAATTCCAGGGAGGGGGCATCCACAACTTCTCTGGGCAACCTGTTCCTCACCACCCTCTGCGTGAAGAATTTCTTCCTGATATCTAACCTAAATCTACCCACTTTCAATTTAAACTTGTTGCCCCCTGTCCTGTCACTACAGGCCCTTGTAAAAGGTCCCCTCCAGCTTCCTTGTAGCCCCTTCAGGTACTGGAAGGTGCAATAAGGTCTCCCCGGAGCCTTCTCTTCTCCAGGCTGAACAAGCCCAGTTCTCTCAGACTTTCATCATAGGACATAGCATAAAAAAAATGAGGTAGTATTTCCCCAAAGTCCATCCATGTAACTTGGCACTGTATTTTTGTAGGAATATATTGATCCCATTAACTTCTCAAGAATTAAATAGGGGAGAGATCATTTCATATGAAGAAGTTACATCGTACTTTGTTCAATTCAGAGTAAATGTAACAACACCAGGCATCTTATGTACTGCTTATGTCTCAGTTCCAGTTTAAATTCAGGTGAAATACAAACCAGAAAGAAATACAGAGAAGACTTTCTGTTGCTTTGTAAATTTTAGCAGACATGGAAAACATAAGATACTTTACCTGAGTGATGTGGTTTATCACATGCCAGTAAATACAACCTTAGTAACTATCCTTCATGACAGCCACTGAGTAGCAGCAGAAAGCTTAGAAGTCATAATTCTATGTTTCAAACACATCCATTTGTTTGCAGCAGCAAATTCTACTCTTTCAAATTGGTAACACCCTAAAATAATATTTTTCTCCCATTACAAAACAAGCAAACATTTTAGGGCTGTTCTGACCCAAACTAGTCACATTTATACACAATCTAAAATGCTGTCATTATGAGGCTTAAATATTTACCATACTACAAACAAGTATTCTTACATAATGATGAGCCAAAATAAGAAACGCTGACAAAATGGAGATCAATAACTTTGATCAGTAGCATATGTAGCTCCTCTTCAGACAGCAATTCATTTGCACTTAAGATAAAATGAATCATCCTCTGGTGACCTTATTGATTACAAATGCAACCCCAGATGTCTACTGTAGACTAGGATGACTAATGTGAAGATATAAAAGTCATGGAAGGGATTCATGCCCTCTAATCTGTGAAGCAATATCAACAATTTCCCCTGGACAAGATGCCAGAGAAGTGCCAAGAATTGTCAGAAAAAAAACAGGAATTAAGTGATGTGAGGTTATGCTGTTGTGACAATACAAGTGAAACACTGTAAATGCTGTTTAAATAAACTATAAATTGGATACATTAAGGTGTGCTTATTATATCTCAGATCCAACCTTTTAAATTACATACTTCTCAACCTTTTAATGTTGTCTCTAAATACACAGTCTCCATGTTTACTGTACCAAACATTTTATTATTTCAAACAAACTCTGTACAAAAACATCATAGCAGGCAAAGAAATTCAGTGATTTCAACAAACAGCACATGACAACTCGCAGAATGCTTTAAGGTTTCCATTTTTATTATAAAGTGACAAATGGCTTTCCTCTGGAATACTTACGACTTCATTGTTTGACAAATAATTGCAGGTAAAGCATGTATTAACTTCAGTTACCAAAGCTCAACTGAATGACCTGTCATCCACCTAAATTTCACTAACTGGAAGTGACTAAGAACAAAGCAGGTTTTCCCCTAATATACATTTGTGAATGTCCCCCCATTAAAAATGGAGTTTGTAAACAGTGGATTTACTACTGTGAAAAAGCAGTGTGATCACTGCTTCCAGGAAAAGGACAAAAACTACTGTGGTTTCTAAATCTGTTCCTGAAAACAACATAGTGATCTGCTGCTACAACTGCAGATGTGACATGAGCTGGAGCTGCTGGACACGTTGGCACCTAAAGGTTCTGATCAGGCTTGAGAAACCTCATAGTGGTCATTCTGCCCAGAAATAAACTCTAAGGCAATCCCTACTCCAAAGAACTTATGATATCAATAGAGTTTAAGGACTGAGTTCAATGACTTGATTTGTCACAGCGCAGCCAAGTTTCAACAGACCAAATACATCTTCAAAGTCTTAAGGTAATGTTTCAGAAGTGATATGCATGAAAATTCCAGTGAGAACACACAAACCCTGATTTACGTACACAGGAAGAAGCAAATGCAAGTCTGAATCTGTGCACAAACACTGGAGTTTTCACACACATACATGCAAGCAAAGTACACAAAATCATATTTTCAGACTGTGACCTCTGCAGGAATATGTACAGCAACTGCAGACCACCCAGAAGACACACTTAGCAGAGCATGAGCACTTTGCTGCTTTTGCCAAAGTATTTCTATTCCATTTACTGGAAAAATTACTAGAAAGTAAGAACAAAGAACTCAGCAAGGAACTCAACTCCTTGAAGCATCAATCACATCTCAAAAACCAACAAAGAGCAATCAGCTTATATATATTTCTGTGTTGAGTTTGCATCATCCAACGAATACTGTAAAGGAACTTGATGGAATGCCTAAGAACAGCTCAGGTCTTAAAACTTATTTATATTATCCTTAGTCTGATGAGGCCAATTTGCCACGGGGGAAGTTTGCTGCTACAGAAGAGTGTTCTGCTTTATAACGGTCTGTATCAGTAAAAAAATTACTTACCGGGTAGAGCTGTCTGAGAGATGATGTTCATCATGACATATTTATACTAGCAAACCCTTTCTAGTTAAGTCAAGGCATTAGTATTTTCCCTTTCCTTTCTATCCAAGGCTAATAAAATTATATAGAATTTTCAAAATCTAGCAAATAAACCTTTCTGTTTATTTATACTGAATCTGAAAAAGGATATTAATTTCCCCAGTGGTTGAAAGGTACTGTTTATAATTAAGGAAAGAGGTAAAATGACCTCTTCGCAATACATTTTTGGATGTCAGCCAACATATAATTCTTAAAATTAGGTGGATCTTCAGTTATTATAGGAAAGACAACATATTTTACGAAAGTGATGAACATTCAGATATTTTCCTATTCGTACGAGTATGATGAGATCCTAAAGCTAACTGACTAAAAAACAGTGCACATGTTCTTAAAACATATCCAATGAGTTTCACTTTCTCTTACATTAACTTTCTCTTTCTTTGAAGTTTCTTTTCTGTGGTATCTTTGATATCAGTTCATTTGATGTCCATTTTGTCTTCATGAGTACTTACTTCTCCGATAGAGAAGGTGTTTAAGGAATAAAATGGACAGATAAACTGTTGTAGCTGAAGTATCTAAGTAAAAAAGTATTTTGGAAGCCAAAAGATAAAGGCTAGCATAAAAACTTAGGCTGCACTCTATAAAGTCAGTCAGGTTATGAACAGATTCATATATTTTAGCAATGTGAAGAAAATGGTTATGTAAAGACACACAAGTATTAACATCAAACTGTATTAAATTATGTAAACATACACATCTTCTGTGATCAATACAAACATCTACTTGTCTCAGGATACTACTGCAGCATAGCTCGAATTTGTTTTGAAGTAGATTCGTCATTCAGGTGTTTTGTAGTGAACCTAGAAATTACAAGTTAAAACAGTATTTTATAAAACGAATCGGGATTTGAAAAGGCCGAAAGCTTCACTGCCTGTTTTTGAAATCAGTCCAGTTCAATTACACAAAGGGGCAGCTTCCATGTTCCTCTCGTCTCTGATCACTGGGATTTAACCGCTAATAGTTTGGTGCTCTACCATCTCCTAAATACCACTTGCAATAAATTACTCCTTGTTAACAGGGGGACAATTGTGGTTAAATTCTGGCTAAATACCATTTGCCATCCATCTATGAAATTGCCATGATTTTGTGTCAAAATTACATCTTTTTTTTCCAGTTGAAAGCCTCAAAAGAAGTAAAAAACAAGGAAAGACATAACAAACAGGGTAAACATCAGAAGGATTTAGGAATCTAGACTGAATTTGGGCAGAACTATAAGCCTGATTTTAAGCAGCTTTATTAAATGTTCTGTGCCTTTACATTTTACAATGTACCATCACAGAGAAAACTTTTTTTTATTTTATTTTATTATTTTGTAACCAGCACAGTTTGTATGGTGCCGAGTTACACTTTTGGGAATATCCTGGGAGGACTGAAGAGGTTTAATGTATTTTTTTCTGTTTAAGCCCAAACATTCTGCACTGCTTACGTTTGTAGGGAGATCAATCACCACATAAGCTCAAAACACACCTGATACCTGTAGGATTTAACACCACATCAGTTTCAGTTCAAAAGACATGGCTATGGATGCAGTTCTTGCTCTACCCAAGCAGTGAACAGCTGGAGAATTTAATACAACTCTGAAAAACTCCCTCCTCAGCATCAGGGATGTGTCAGCCCACTGTGTCTTGCTTCCCAAGACAGCACCTTAAATACTTAGTTTCAGGGTTGGGATTTAGGTTGTTGCTTAATTGAAGTTGGATTATTTAGCAAAATTAAAGAAAAAAAAAGCACCTTATTAAATCACAAGGAAAGAGAGAAGGATCAAGGATTTGCAAAATAGAAGCTCTCAAATGAGAACTTAGAGAGATTTAGAGTTTCTAAAATGGTCTAGTTGCTGAGGTATTTTACATAGCAAATCTTATCTTAGATGTATGTTTTACCTTTGATGTATTGTTTACCTTTCAGATGGTTAAGTTTTAGGCAATAAGATGAACCTTAAGTATCGCTGAAGTAGGGCATTATGACTCACAATATGAATAGCCCTTGCTTATCAAAGTGAAATGCAATTGAAAGAAATTAATATTACTTAAGAAACCCCCAGGTGATGAAGGCACACCCGAACGACAATTTTCTTAATAAATCAAGCTTCTAAGGTGAAAAGTCTTGAATATAAAGGGATCGTGAGTAAGAAGAAAGAGGAATTTGTTAAGGCTGAATCAAACAACTATTCCACACATACCTGAGAGCATTCAGAAGTCCTTCCACAGTGTCAGGTGGTTGTTCTTTTAAAACTTTTATGCATCCCTTCATCTGGGAACAGAAGCATGCCACTATTGAACAATAATGTATGAATTGCACTAGCTGAAAACAAGGAAAAATTTCACCAAAAGACAGGCAGGTTTTTGGTCCTACTGAGTGTTAACACTGCTTTATATGACACAATAAAAGCATTATAACTTACTAAAAATTATCTTCAGTTAAAAACCTAAACTTTGAGAAAACATCTACTTTAAAAACCATTTGTAAATAGTAACATAATGTACTAAGTGTATATGTTTTAACTTGCACATGATTTCTCCAATTCCAACTTAAAAAAAACCCCACCAAGGACAGCTAATATACGCTAAAAAAGATATTTTGTAAGAGACTTCCATGTCATTGCTGTTAGCAACTACCATAAAGGAAGTTTCAACTTTGAATTTTATTTTTATGCTTGCACATGAGGCAGTCATTTTCAGTTTTTAGTTTTAAACCTAACTGGTGATAACTTATGATTTGTTTTATAACTAGTGCTTAGAAAATTAATCTGAGGTAAGTTGTTGATGATACTGATTTTAAACACCACACTGAATGAACATCTTTGTGGAGACTGTAAAAAGCAGGCTGAATTTCTGTCCAAATTTACAAAAGAGGAAATGAAGCAGAGAAAGCAAAGGTAGAGCTCATTTGACTGACTACAGAGACTCCTATCTAGGCAATAGAAGTAAGCAATTCCTCTAACCTGTTCAGAACATACTTTCAGATTCAGTGAACTGTGCTGCGGAATTACCTATTTCTTCCCATTGCTATGAAGACATCTAATTGCTACCCAGGAATCGGTCAAGATGAACTCAATTTTATTTAAAATAACAGAAAAAAGCTATGGCAGAATCAGAATTTGAAACTTCTCAAGTCACATTACAGTGCTAAATTTACATGACACTATTTTCTTTGTAGCTAAGGAGCAAATCTGCGTTATTATGAAAGTGGATGATGAAATATTTAACTGAAGTCAAGGTCCATGTATTTGCCCCTAAATATTATTTGGAAAACGTGACTCAGCCTCCTGTTCAATGACCAATGATCACTGCTCAGCTGGCTCATTCCACCTGGATGATAAAACTAGCTGTGCAAATAGTTGATCAGATGAAATTCTCAGGGTGGCAGCACATATTTTTCAGTAAGATAGGTATTTCTCCTGAACTAGAGAAACTCAAGACTATATTCACATTGCTAGTACAGGTTTACATGCCCAATCAGATCAGACAAACTCAAGGGGGATAAAAATTGAGACCATTCATTTCCATTTTTGTTAGAATCAGAATCCTTAAAATAGCCAAAAAAGAGAAGCTGTTAGGACGTCTAAGGTAGGTGTCTGTAATTAACAGCTTGAAAAAAAAACCAGTCTCCAGGCTTGAAAGTGTAAAGAAAGGGCAATTTGTTCCACTGTCTCTGAAATCCTCTTGAAATGGCTACCAGAAGTGACCAGTTGGGAGGAAAAAAGAATTATCTTTTAACAGTAGAACAAATTCATCATATGAAATATTTTAATTTTTTTTTTTTTTAAATTGGAAAAGATTCACTAAACTAATTAAGTGAATTGAGATTTGGGACCATGTACTCATTTTTAAAAACTGAGTTGTGCACCTCCTGCCTTCCATTTATGTCTAACTATTCTGTAAGATTAAAGGGCTTTATGATAAATGTGAGAAAAAAAGTACAAACACTGTACATTTGGTCCCATCAAAGTTTTATTTGTGCCTCTGTAGGCAAGAGACTGAATTAGAAGCCAGGAAGTCTGCATTCAATTCCCGGGCTCTATCTGCTGCATGACCTTGAGTAAATCAATTCACCTATTTGTGACATATCTTCTCCTCTGCAGAACAGTGTCAAAGAGGAGCTGTGGTAAAATACTGTCATCTGCAAATGAAAAGTGCTAATGACGACTTAGTGTCATGGAGCAGAACAATATATATATACATTTTCCTCTTTTGAAGTAGGTTCTCTTGTAAAGGGAAAGACAAGAGTCTTTTCTCATGAATTACAGCATATTTGTGCTGAAACACGGGGCATATGAGATTTAGGTTTGTAAAAACGTGTAGCAAAAATAAGCGCACTTTTGGGTGTGTGCTTGCAATATCTCAGATGAAAAGATAAAGCTGATTTCCCTGTGACTGGTCATGCCCAAGCTAAAACCAAAGGCTCATTATCAACATTAGGACAACATTTCAGTTCTGCTGCTTCAGATCTCAGACAAAGCAGAGATAATGTCAAGTATCTGCTTATTTATAACAGAACTACTGCCAAGGATGGGCATTTCAGCATAAATGAACTATATGATTAATAAAAAATTTTGACAGTAGGACTTATTCCAGAGTAAGGGTAATACAACATTGTTTGTGACAGGAAAGCAGAGCTAACAGACAAATTAATATCTGTGTCTGTGTGAAAATACAAAGAAAAAAAAGACTGATCTTTATTTTAATTTCAAACAAGCTGATATATTAAAGTAAGCGGGTGAAGATAAATTCTAAATTTTGCCATTCAAAAGTAATTAAAATGATTTATACAAAGACATAAGATTATGCTAGGAAAAAAGCCGCCGACTAGAATTCTCAAACGTAGGGAGTATTAAAGAAAAGTCACTCTTACATCAATCTTTGATGTCTTTGAGAAAGCTCCCACAGGATGAACGTGATCATAGAGAATAATAACTCCCACCATTACTCGCATGCAGAACATAAGGGTCTCTTCACTGGTGAATCTACTCCTGTACTCTCTGGAAAACAGAACAAAAGAAATAAACAGTCCTGACTGTGTACTGGACAGCTTTGCAAACTAGACTATGAGCACTTGAAATTGGAACTAATATTACATTTTAAGGTTGAAGATGCATCTTAGCAAGATTTTAAGGATCTCTGAATTGCGTAAGTACTTGTAAATTTAGAAGGATGATTAGAAAGCAGAGAGAGATACGTAAAACCCTTCTCATACCCCTTCCCACTTCAGATCCTCACTTCAGCAAAATGTCTATGATGACAGCTTCACAGACGACTTCCATAGTTCATGAAATATGGTGGAGACTGATTGTACTTCTGTCTAATCTCAGAAAGACAACATCAGGACCTCAAAGGAAAGCTACTCTTTTTGCTTAAATTCCTACTTTGAAACAGTTAACATTTAACTGGGATCTAATTTCAGCAGTTCGTAAGTTCAGGGCTTCACCTATGTTGATCATAGTGATTGCTCTCCCTCTCTTAAGTCCACAGGCAACCTCAACACAGGTTCACTGAGCATCTAAAATGTAGCAGCCCTCTAGACAGGACTGGATCAAAGTAATTTCAGAGAGTTTTTCTTTGACTTTTCAATTCCAAAATAAGAATTCAGAGACTGTCTTAACTGTGCCATCAAAACCTTCATCAAGAAATGAACAATGAACTACAGTAGAGAAAAAAGAAATCCTGAAAACCAGAAATTATTACAATCTAACAAATATTTTGAGTAGATAATACGCAGATTTGTCTACTGATTTTTAACATAAAACTTGATTTTTTTCTCTTAAACGTACCAATAAAAATACTACAGTCTGTACTATACTACTTCTGTTTACAATAACTTCTATTTTTATTCTTTCACAGCATCATAACATGAACAGATTTAAAGGCTAGAGACATTTTGATGTGAAAATGCTTATTATCCCACAATTAGAACTAAGTATCAGATAATCTTCTTTAGATGACTCACGACTTTGTTTCTCTATTTTTGCCGAAAAATTACCTGACACATAAGGTTACTTTTCAATTACTGCTTCTATGACGTCCTGGGATTGTGAGATGTGTCCAGCACCTACATAAACTTCTCCATATTTTTCATAAAGAAACACAATTACCTAAGGAATTGTACGCTTAACACGGCACCATGAACAAACAATACAAAGACAGGAAGACTACCCTGACTCTATCTTGATAGGTGTTTTTCACTCAGAGACATCTAACCTAAAAAATACTCAACTAAATGCACAGCTAAACAATAGTAACCCCACTGGCTATATCTACGCTACCAGATATGAATGCAACTGTACAGCTTCCATACAGCTGAACTTTCTAATATCATAATATTCTACGATTCTATGATCATAGACCGGTTTAGGTTGGCAGGGACCTTAAAGACCATCTAGTTCCAACTCCCCTGCCATGGGCAGGGACACCTTCCACTAGACCAGGTTGCTCAAAGCCTCATCCAGCCTGGCCTTGAACACTTCCAGGGATGGGGCATCCACAGCTTCCCTGGGCAACCTGTTCCAGTGCTTCACCACCCTCTCCATGAAGAAAGTATCCAAAATATCCAGAGTAAGATGGCTGCATCCACAAAAATATCTGCTCAAATGATCCTCAGTATAGTCCTTGTGTATCACTGGCAAAAGCACTACTTGGAAGAACCAAAGTCCTGCCCCTACGTGTGCTAAGAATTGAGCAGCGTGGGCAAACAAGAGACAGTACTTGGCCTATGGCCCTCGTTAGACAAGACACAGATGCTGAAGCTTGTCAGTGCATAAGATTACACTTCTATTTTAACCTTTTGTGGAAATGCAGGATGATCATACAAGCTCTCCCTAACAAAACTCAATACTGATTTATAAAAAATACCATAAGGTGGTTAAAAGAGGAGGCAATGCTTCCTAATACCAGGTCACGCTCTGTATACAAGTGACAACAACATAAAGCAAACATACAAGAATTCATTTGGAAAAAACCCTGTGTTTACTCCAGGTGGCTACTTGAAATACAATGCAGATTCTCTCACACAAGAAAAACAAGATTTAAGGTAAAACTTACGGCGTTTCCAACATGACTTTACATACACTAGCCATAGTACTTAGACAGTCCGTTGTATTTTCAATTGGTAACGTTTTGTTCTAGAAGGGTAAAAAACAGTCAGTGTTCAGCATATGATCTTGTAAAATTAAAATTAAGAATGTCTGTCTCAGACCTTCCCCCCCCCCCATTACCTACTTCTGATACGAAATGTGTAGTTGCATTACTCAGTGTTTTCAGCATTGGCGTGGCTTCTGCATAAAACAGGGACATCCTATTGGCCATTTCATTGTTTACTTCATTCTCAATGTCTAGCTGATGAAAACATGAGAAAAAATAGTCAGTAAAACTTAAAAATCTTGCCAGCAGCAAGAAAAAGATACAGTACATGCTCATGTCAGCAAGCAGATTATTGCATGAATAGTTCCACTCTAATCACTTCATTCTGGCTGCTGATTAACTCTCGGTGTGAAGGAGAAAACATGACAGCTAGAACATGACATCAAAAGAAAAAACATATTACCACAAACGGTATAAATGCACACTGATAAATACCTCAGTGTGATCAGCATATCAGACTTTATTTACTCACATGCATATTATTTATTCTGTTGCGACTTATTGTCCGCCTATAATAACTGAAGTCATTCTGAATTGCTGGGTTTCTCATCTTAGAGGAAGAAAAATAGGGAATAATCAGTTTTGGTTTAAAACACATGGAAAAAAAATCAGCATGTATAAAAGACTTCATTAACCTTCAGTTCATCAAAACGAAGAGTGAAATGTAGGATTTCTGCAAACTCTTTCGCTAGTGCCTGTTCTCGTTCCAGGTGCTGAGTTGGGGTATAAGGTGGGCACGTCAAGGACTCCAATAAACTCTGCAGGGCCTTCTCTGAATAAAAATCAGAAGCACAAATGCTATTCAGTTCACATTACGACAAAGTTTTAAGTAACTACCTAAATATACTTTGTTTGAAGGGAAGGAACACTCTGAACATGCAGAGCCCTAGTAGAAATAATTTTTCTTACTGTTCTACGGTGAGAAGCATGAGTCAAAGACACCTGCCTCTTCAGGCTCTCTGCCACTTTCTATTTTGCATCACTGACCTCGTTTCCGTTTTTATCACTCTTTATCTGGGTACCCTATCGAAAATTCTAGAGCAAGCATTTTTCTTGCATTCAGGTATTCAACTCTTTCATCTACCCCAATTAGCCATCAGCTCAGTACAGAGATTATTCTGGCATCTCTGTTACTAGAAGTGTACTCTTAAGCAGTGATAGCAATGTAATTCAGTTCCCGTGGCTATAATTAACTAGCATAACTCAGAAAGTGAAAGACTTAGTAAGTAGGATGTTGAAGAAAAATTCCCCTGGACTGGGGAGCTCTCCCGCTTTACCCATAAATTTCTGAACACTAGTTCTCTTCCAAAGTCCTAATTCAGGGAGTAATTACATCATTTCTTGGGTTTGTAGGGATGATAGTCAGTGTAAAATATGCCCAGATTTGGCTTTTCACCCCGTGAGAGAGTGTATTGATAACCTTCTCCCATTTATCCCTGTTTTGCAAAGTCTCAAAATGTTATTGTTTTACTTTCCTTTTAAAACTCTGAAGGATCCAAATTACAAAAAAACCCCCCAAAACAAACAAACAAACAAAAAACCTGCATTATCACAATAGGGACCAGTGAAGTGCAAAAGAGTGGCAGGCACCAGAGAAAAAACTATGTAATTTTACAATGTTATTTACCTGTTCTATTTAGATAATACAGATTTATTTTAAGTGACAAGCTAACAAACTATGATAATTTTGAAATTAAATTGAGATTAAAAATATGCCTTGATAATTATAATTGCAGTTAAATGTTGTTTGATCTCAAACAGAAAGATTAATAACCCTTTAAAAGTCTGTGGGAAAAGAAACTTACTAAAACAGGGCTCACCTAATCTGAGTGAAAACTCATAAAAACGCTTCAGCCTTACAACCAGAGGACATACTGAATTCCATGCTTTTTCTTGCAACTGGATATCATTGGGATTTTGTATTGCCTGAAATGAAAATATTACTGTAACGAACTGTGATATATGAATAAAAGTGAAACGTGGTTTGGAAGTTTTCTACTACAGTATTTTAGAAAGCAAGTATTGTAAACCATAGAATGATTATGAGAAATTATATTGCACAGGAACAGGAAATTAGCAGTCAAAAAATATCATGTTTTCCAACTTCCCTCTTCCCCTGTAAGACAGCAATTTAAAATTATTCATTCCAATGCATCACTGACATGCAGAAATGTGTTTTAACATGTTCTTTAGGGAGCAAAACTACTGTAGAACCATCAGGTAAGACCTTTTGTATGACTACTGGTTGCAGAAATGGCCTTGTTTTTAAGGTTTTGATGTTTTTGAAATCTTTAACATATTCAGGGTCTTCAAGCTAACAATAACTGCGAAGCTGATGCAGGAAAAGGTTTGGCCAGCTGAGAAAAATTTTAATTTACACTTCAGAAGTACCAGTTTAATATAATAAGATGCATGTAAAGGAGATGCAAGGTTATGGTTTACTGAGGTTCACTATTTCACTATTTTTTTACAGAAAAAGAACTATTTTACTTGATTTCTGACATCTGGGTACTATTTCCTCCATGTCTTCAACTCTGAATTCTGCCATGAAATATAGAAAATGAGGTATATGAAATGGTGTTTCTCAAAGTGAAAAATAATTACTAATAGTAAACTTAAAAGAAGTTCCAAGAGGCATCATTTAATGATTTAATATTAGGGCGTTACATTCAATGTTACACATAATCTGTAACAATTTCTACACACAATTTTAATGAAGATTTTCCTATCATTTCATAAAATGTTCTTGGGCGTGGAACAGTAGCAAGGAACACATCGACCTTTGCTTCCAAAGAACTGTCAGTAACTTTAACAAACATACATCTCTAATTTCTTGTCCAGCTCCTTTGTAAGCCTGAAGGTCTGCAAGCATACTTTCCGAGTCCTGTAAAACTGCACTGATTTGATTCCATACCTCCCTTTCTCCATCTGTGGGCTGTGCGTCTAAGAAACAGAAAAAGCAAAATGCACAAAAGTCAAAAGGTAGCTTCAATATAAATGGCAAGATTACTCAGTTCTAGTTATAAACTCTATTGTATCCAGCTTGTCTATGTGTAACTCCACTTTGATGTGCTTTTTAAAAAAAAAAAAATACAATTATACTACACTGCCATTCTGCTAACATCCAAGTTTTTGGTTTCTATATCTAGGAAGGAAAACCAGTACAATTTTTGTATGCTCTGGCTCATAATGCCTCTTCTCAAAACACAGCATTTTAAAGTGAAGCAGTATCATAAAGCAATGTTATTAGAAAATAGGATAATGCAACGGTCCTTTGGTAAAAATGTTTCCGTCTTTCATGAGCTCCACAGCTCCACTACAAAGAATTGTTCACATTTCTTGCAGCTTGGGGATAAAATCAGGCTTTTCAATGGATGGAGCAGTGGGATATTATGCCACTTTGACTTTCCTCCAGGCTTCCTTAACCAAGGTAATTTATTTCTCCTTTTGTAAAGCACAGTACTGTTAAAAATAAACATTTTTCTTCTATGTGTCAGATCATTCCTACTACTAAAATAAATCCAGTTCTGTCAACGATCAGTTCATTTTCAGGGTGGGAGTGACCTGTAGACCTTTCCTGTTCAGAGAAATGAGATTTGGAAGTAGATCAATTTTCCCATTCAGAATACATAATTCTGGTGCGATTTTCACAGCAGTGTGACACCAGGGAGTGATGCCATCCCTAGGACATCAACACATTAGACAAGGTAGAGATCTGCATTCTTTTGCTTTAAAACATAAAGACAACCGGCCCTGACTGAAGACTGGATGACCTATATATAAAATTGTGGTCAGTATTTTTAGAAGCAATCACATTGTCTCAGCAGATTTCTGTTGAGACACATTTTTTTTCCCCTTTAAATCTGTATTAGCTTGTAAGGATAGAATTTCAATTTTTATGAAAGAAAAAAAAAATACTTTGTGAATCTTAGGACTGAAGGACTACTTGCTTGAATTAAAAGCAATGAGATACCTTCAGTTCAAAACTCATCGATTAGGAAGAGCTGCATATATCTCGACATTAACAGACAAAAAAATATTAAAAATACTTCTTGTATTTAGTCTTCTCACTCTCCTTAAGAAATGAGACACAGTTCTCCACCCACACATCAGTACAGGATTCACTGACCCACCTCCCTTCAGAAACAAACAAGCTGGTTCACCTTTGAGTTTATGGAAGGAGGAGGCATTCTCAAAGCCTTTCTTCATGATGTTTCAGGTTAAGATAATTTAAATTAAATTTAAATGCATCAAGTTATTTATGGACATTGCATCAACCAGACATGAATAGCTGAGACTTGTGTGTCCATATCTCTGAAGCAACTAGTACTTAAAAACTTTTCTATATTCATATGTCACCATGAGTCCCCTGAGATTGGGAACGTGAAACAATATTGATTTGACTTTTCTTGTATTCTGGAAGCTTTCCCTAATCTTGTTTAAAAGGCAGAATGAGTGAAAGCAAAAATAAGCTGGGCCTACTCAGCTGGGTTTTACATCCAAAATACTTCATGTGACTAAAAAACATCCACCATCCTCCATGAAGTGAGGTAAAGTAGCAGCAAAGGGAGAACTATCCCAAACAGGAGAACCCCAGGTGGGACACGGCTGCTGAACTGAACTGTTAGTCACAGTACCCCAAGCTGCAAGAAATCCCCTGAGACATGGTAACAGGTCCGTCACCTTGTGGTAAAAAAGGGGGAACAAAACAGTAAACCCTGCTGAGTTTAATGAAGAAAGTGGTAATCTTGCTAAACAGTTACATACCATATAACAACAGAGTGGGGGGAAGGTAGGAGTCACCTATAAATCAATACTTATGTTTTAACAGTTAAATAAAATTTAAGTAACATTTTCTGTCAATATGAAAACACAAAAAAGAGTAAGTAATCTGTTAGTACAACTCACAAGAGTAAATTCTGCACATTCAGGTCACCTGAAGCATGGGTTGGTGAACAGGGTATGTCTACATTTCTTTTTACCATTTATTTGCTTTAAAAAAACATTAGCCTTTAATGGAAATTTAAACACTATAGACTGCTCAGCACTTTCGGGCTTAAAAAATTTAGTAATGCCCTTTATTGTTAGTGCTTTTTAAATTTTCCCATTTCATCTTTTGGAAGTTGAGGGAAAGGTGAGTATTTGAAACCCACTGAGCTTTCTATAACACCCCAGCACCTGGGGAAGTAGGAGCAGGAGGAAGGTAGGTGGGTGGAAGAGGGAAAGAAAGGGAAGGGAGAGGAAGAGGGCTGCAAAGGCTGCAGGGCAACAGGCTTAGCTTGCATTTGCAGAAGCAGTTTATGCTGAAAGTGTTTAACTTAAAAATAAAGGTAGGAAGGATGATTCAGGCTTTTTTTTAAAAAAACAAACCAAACCAAACAAACATGCATCTTATGAAATATATGTTATGCAAACAGATGTTCTGGTAAGACCATGGCCATATTTCAAAAGGGATTTTACATGAAGAGCTTGCCAAAAATGATCAGCTAAAATACCTGTAATCGATCACTTTGAAAATATTTCATCTGGCTGTCAACAACAATAACAACAGCAACACAACAATTAAAAGGATACAGACTTCTTCACTTCCTCAGATTTTGGCTTTTAAAATTGCTTTTCTATTCCAACAATACCAAAGCTCGCTTCTCTAAGTAAAAAAAAAAGCTATTCCTGAGTCACAGTGTGGAATCACTTCTTGGCAGTGATCACCTCTTATTCCCATACTGCCAGAGAACCAGCATGTGCCTAGGCAATTTGAGCCAATTTATAAATAAAACCGTGGCCACTGACTAATCCAGGCTGAATGCAAGCCCTCCAATAACAAGTTACCATAATCACTGGGTTTGCTGCATTTGAAGTCTGAGTTTTTACAGTACCCATGCATTCAGAGTACGCTGGCTTTGATAAGACAAAACAGGAAACCCTTTCACCTCCCTTTACCCAATCTGAACCTCAAACCTGACAACTAAACGAATCCTCTAGCAAATTAATTCAAGAGTCAGACCAGGCTTGACTCTTCCATATATGGAATCCCCCAGCAAATTTTCGTTTAGAAAGCAAAAATTTTAGCTCCAGAGAGAAATGCAATTTCATTGGCTCCATCAGAAATACTGGGATATGATAATTAATCCATTCCACGAACAAATGCTCTTTCATCTTTATACATGGCTTATTCCATGTTTGGGATGGGGCTTCAGACTTCATTAAAAAAAGGGGAAAGCTGGACTGACTACAGTCCTGCTGTGGATGCATTAAATATGTCAGATGCACTGTGGGGTGGGAGGGTGAAATCATCTTTTTTTTTTTCCCCCTTAGAAAAATAACTTATTTTAAAAAAAACTAAAAGTGCAATGTATCTACCTGATTCTTCACCAAGTGTGCATTAGAAAGAGCACAGAAAGGGCTATGCAGATAAGATATCACTACCCACAGAACTAGATTAAATATTAAAAAAGATATGAAAACCTTTACCAATACAAAATTAAGTACTACAGTATCTTAATTTTTATGAAGCATAACAATATCTCAGTATTAATATTAATGAAGAGATAACAGCACTAAGAGAAGGGCTTCCAACCCATACACCCTTTCTGTATCTAAAATGCAGGCCAAGGCACAGAACTTGATTCCACCCTCAGTCATACCGATTGCAGGTTAAAAGTATTCCCCCTGAAGCAGGTTAGTGCTTGCATTTCAGCGAATGGGGAACCATGTTTGTCAAGAACACCATAATCATAGAATCAGAGAATGATAGAACGGTTTGGGTTGG